CTGCTTTTCTGTGGCTGTCTCATTTGTCTGTTGTTCTCTCTAGCTCCCTTTCTCCCATTCCATGTGTGTTTTCTTCTGTTATAACAGCTATCTGGGTACCCTGCAGCTAGTGACAACCTTTTCTTGTTATGTTAAAGCTCATAAGCAGCACTTGGTTTATTGATTGATTGGTTTTTATTTAAATTCTGCAAAAGAAAGAAAAGGTTCTGTTTATTCTATTTTTTTGGACCCAGGGCTTCACATATAAGCATGTGCTCTCTGAGCTATACCCTCCAGCCCCAAAAAGGTATTTTTATAAAGCTAGAAAACAGAGTGGAAATGTGACATCAGGCAAAGGGAGGAGCAGCCTGAAGAGAAGAGGTGAGTAGGGGGCATGAGAAGAGGTTGAACCTATGGTATCTTATTTCCTCTCAAATAAATCAGGTCAGCTATTTGTGGCTGGTGACAACTTAATCTGGACTATGAAGGGTTAAGTGCCAAGTTAGTCTTGCACCTAACTCAGAGAAAGAAGCTTCTGGGAGAAATGAGTTAAATAAGTCCAAGAAGCTGATGTGGATAGAATTTTTTCTGCCTGACCCGCTAACAACTGCGAAGGGGACATTTCAGGAATGGTTTTTATTAAAATGCTTTGGTGGGGCATAGCCCCTGGAAGCTAGACTGGGCTCTGAGGCCAGGCCTGCAGAGCACAGAGGGATGAGGACAGTTGACTGACTGAGGAAGAGGAGGGGCACCCTGGGTCACAGGAGATGGCAGCATCTGCTGATGAGGGCAGTTCTGATTGCTATTTGCTCTCCTCTTGCTTGCTATAATTAAAGCTTTCCCAATATGATTCTGTTTTCCTGAGGAAACTAGAATTTACAAAAATAAGCAAGAAACTAACACAAAACAGCAGAGATGTATATTTCTATGTATGTATTGTATGTATGTGTGTGTGTGTGTGTGTGTGTGTGTGTGTGTGTGTATTTAATCATACAGCAGTTGTGTCTTGAGGTCATTGCTGCTCATCAGTTTCAAAGTACCTAATCTTCCATGATAGCCCTGGCAGGAGGGGCTCTTCTGACAAAACAAGCAAAATAAAGAAAATAAAAAAAAAAACTAAATGTATTCAGCAAATTAGATAAGGCTAAGCAGATCCTCCACTAGTCCCAGCATCCTCCTCACTCCTGACACAAGGGAAATGCTCCCCTCAGAATTTCCCTCCACTTTTTTTTTTTTCACTCTACCTTACTGTTTTCATTCCACCTGGATTCCTTCCTCTAACAGACCACATAGAATTCATGAACCAGAATAAATCAGTTGTTTTATTTCCCTTCAAAGGATGTGAACTTCCACTTCCCAAATTGCTTTGACAGTTTTCTCATTTGCTAGCTGAGGACGATATCAAGAGACATTGACCTTCTGGTTTTGCCTAAAGAGGGAACACTCAGTAACTATTATGCTTTAGCCTTTGATTTGCTTTAACTGTCCCTTCCTTTATCCTTCATGTCCTTACCTACCTTTTCACCTTCTTCATGAACATTATGCTCACCCCATAGTTCACTGCTACTCCCCACAGCCCTCCTTTGCTGGTGTGGAAATGCTGAAAAGCATATCTACCTGCCTTCAACCTCAGTGTTCCCTACTAGCAGGAGAACATATGGGTCCTCGAGGAGTGTTCACTGATTTTAATCTGATTAGTCCCATCATCTACCCTAAGGAGCCAGATTTGGGTGTTACTGAACTATCTGTGGAGGGAGGAGAAATTGTCAGACATCACTTAAAGAGCCCTGTTCCTTGGACGCTTGGGAACTGCCAGAGAAATTAATCTTCCAGCTATTTAAGGCAATTTCTTTTCCATCATCCTTTGTCAAGATGACTGTACTGGGAAATGAATCTGAGGGGAGTCCCTGAACTGGTACACTCTACTCAATGGCATCTCTCCAATGCTATGCAGCATTCATCATCCTCATACAAGCAGAGACATATAACATTGCTGCAAAGCCAACTCCCCACTGGTACCCGGCAGCAAGAAATCACACATGCACAAGGTGGATACCACTGGCCTAGAGACTGGCCTTTCCTCATCTCTATTTTCTTTCCAGAAAACCTATTGATCTCTTTCATTAAATTTGTTTTTTGCCCCAGATCCAGGAAGGCAGAGGAACAGGATATGCCAGCACAGAATATAAGACTATAGGTTAGACATTTTCTCTCCTGAACATGACTCAGGGGTGCAGAGTAGACATTTAGATTAAATAGATCACTGCCAAAGCAAGGTGTGAGACAGACACAGGGGTAGGGGTTGTGCTGTCTCAAAATTATCTTTTCTCCAAACTGAACTTTCTGTTCATAGACTGAGACTAGGGAGTCTTATGTTCTCTGGGGTCATGAGAGGAAATTCCAACCTTCAACTCTGTTCTCAAGAATGTTTTCCAGGGTAATACTTTTCAAATTGTGTTCTCTGGGGCTCCAAGAAGTACCAGGGAGTTATATGTATGGGAGGGGGAGGAGACAAAGGGGTGTCGTAGAATGGATGGTAGGGAAAGCTCAATGGTGGAGGGACTGGACCCCAGCTCTATTCCAACCTGAATTGATTTCTTTCTGTTGTTGAGATTTCTTTTTTTCTTTCTTGTGGTACTAAGGATTGAATCCAGGGGTGCTCTACCACTGAGTTATGTTCCCAGGTCCCCTCCTATATTTACATTTAATTTTGAAACTGGGTCTCCCTTGCCCAGTTTGGCTCAAACTTGTGATCATTCTGCTCCATTAGTTTGTGTATGTGTGTATATATATATATATTTAGTACTGTGGGTGAAACCCAGGGCCTTGCACATGCTAGGCAAGTGTTATACTAATAAGCTACAGCCCAGTCCTTTTTATTTTGAGACAGGATTTTACTAAGTTGCCCAGGCTGGCCTCAAATTTACAATCCTCCTGTTTCAGCCTCCCAAGTATGAGTTCATTTTTTTTTTTAATGCTCTTTTTTTTTAAAAAAAAAAAAAGTTTTATTTTATTTTTTTAAAGATAGAGAATTTTTTAAAATTTATTTTATTTTTTTAGTTTTCAGCAGACACAACATCTTTGTTTGTATGTGGTTCTGAGGATTGAACCCAGGCCGCACGCATGCCAGGCAAGCGTGCTACCGCTTGAGCCACATCCCCAGCCCTTAATGCTCTTTTTTAAAGATCTACATACTGGGCTGGGGATGTGGCTCAGTGGCAGAGTACTTGCCTCACATATGTGAGGCACTGGGTTTGAACCTCAGCACCACATAAAAATAAATAAACAAAATAAAGATATTGTGTCCATTTATAACTAAAAAAAAGTATTTAAAAATCTGCATACCACTGTTGCAAATGAGAGGAAGATGATTACCTGTGCTTCTCATACACCTATTTGCTGGTGATATACACAGGAGGGAGATATGTGATATAACTCCTGTTTCTTTTTCTTTTTTAGAGAGAGAGAGAGAGAGAGAGAGAGAGAGAGAGAGAGAGAAATAGAATTTATTTATTTATTTATTTTAGTTTTTCGGTGGACACAACATCTTTGTATGTGGTTCTGAGGATTGAACCCCGGCCGCATGCATGCCAGGCGAGCGTGCTACCGCTTGAGCCACATCCCCAGCCCATATAACTCCTGTTTTTCAACTATAGAATATATTTGGGTCCACACTAGTAGCTCTCTAACTCTAGGGGCTCCTCAGACACTTTTCAGCAAAATGAATCTCCTAAGGCACAAGAGTCATTTGTTTTCCAAACTCCCTTCTGCGATCTTACTAATTCCCAATTTCCCTGCATTTGACAAATGCAATTAACAAGCCTCGATCAGTTCCTGGCCGACAGCCCTCATCAATCAATACAAAAATGCACAAGGCTGAGAAGGAGGAAAGGTTGCCACAATACAGGGGAGACCTTACCCTTCTATTTCTATGAATGACCCCTCCCACCCTCTCAAAACATGACACTGTATTGCCCCCTCACCAAACATTTTCTTCCTTCTGGCTTAACTATATAAAAGGTGGTTTTGCCTGTGTCCTTCTCTCATTCTTTTTTTTTTTTTTTTTTTTGAGAGAATGAGAGAGGGAGAGAGAGAAAGAGAGAATTTTAATATTTATTTTTTAGTTATTGGCGGATACAACATCTTTGTTTGTATGTGGTGCTGAGAATCGAACCTGGGCCGCACGCATGCCAGGCGAGCGTGCTACCACTTGAGCCACATCCCCAGCCCCTCTCTTTCTTTAAAGGTTTCTCCTGCCAACCTCCTCTATCTTCCCTAGGTCTTGTCCTTAACAGAAGGTCTTGCCATCTGTTGCCACCATAGTTTGGGAACCCCCTCAGTGCTGGGTGTGATAAATCAGTAGTCTCTGTGCTCAGCAGGGCCTCTTCCCACCCACAAGTACCAATGCCAATTTTGTGCTGCTTCCTGCCCAAGAGACTATAAGCCCACCCTCTCTCCCTCTGCTGTGTGCCCACGTGCATGCAGAAACACACACACCAAAAGGACAATGATCCCCAAACCTGTGGTCACTATTGCTTTCACTTTTGCTTCTTGGTCTTCCTGCCCCTCGCCCTGGTGAAAAGAGGTATCATTTATTTCTCTTTGCCCTCTTCCTCAAGGTCTAAGCCTTCCCTTCCCAGTGGTTTTAAGATTCCAAATTTACCCTCCTCACCCTCTGTGCTGCATGTACTATCAAGTTCCCCTCCCCCACCACAGGGTGAGAGCTTTTTCCTCTGCAGCCCTGCCTAGTACAGCCCTGTGCATCTTTCCACCTCATCAACTTTTCATCTCTTTGCAAACCGAATTGGGAAGTCTCTCCCTCCTCCCTGCCTCTCTCCTTCTCCTTTGTTATTAGCTTCATGAGTGGGGACATTAATGTATTCACCAGACAATGTCTTCACACCACTGTTTCCTGTAATTACAGTCCCTTCCCTCCCACTGTCCTGGCTTATTTGACTGTAAAGTGCTTGGAGGAGGGACAGCATGGACAAAAGACACAAAAGACGCAACACAGCCTGAGGTTGAGTAGTGAGTAGTGTAATGTTAACATCCAAAAAAGTAAAACAAGTAGTCACCTCTGCTGCAGCTCATTAACATCTGCTAACACGTAGAGGTCAATGTTCCAGAGCTTCAAAAAAAGTACTGATACAACTGAGGACTCCTCCACCATAAGATAGGGTACTGTATCATTAACAATGACAGTCATCCCCAAAAATGTAAACAGCCACAACCACCCTCCTTCAGAGGGTAGATCCACTATACTTGTCATGTAGATCAGCTACATTGTCACTGGAGACGTGGATCCAACCATCCTCTCGAACATGGTAGAGGTTAACAGAACCTCCTGAGTAGGCATCTCTGTAGGTGGCTTGGTAGATGGCTCGACGGGCCAGATCATAAGCCTGCTCCACATCCAGGTCATATGAGTAGCCTCGATCCATGACCCCATAAGCATACACTGAGCCAGAACCTACAGAGAAGGTGGCCCCAGAGATCCGGTTCCCTTCACTGTCCACGTAGTAAAGGCCTGGAAAGGAAGATGAGATTAGCAGGGAAAAAAAAAAAAAAAAAAAAAGATCATCCCTTTGACACCTATTCCATCTTCTAAGCCAGGCACAGTGGTGCATGCCTTTGAGACTCAGAAGGCTAAGGCAGAAGAATCACCAAGTTTGAGGCCAGCCTCAGCAAGTAATTCACCTTCCATAGTAGAAGTTTTCTATCCTCTTAATACCCTGAGGAAATCAATGTAAATAAAAATAATAAAAAAAGACTTCTGTAAAATTTTTTTTTTCTTTTTTTTTCAGTACTGGGGGTTGAACCCAGGGATTCTTTACCAGTAAGCTACATCTGCAACACTTTTATACTCACACACACACTTTTTTTTTGCAGTGCTGGGGATGATTGATCTTGGGGCACTGCATATGCTAAACAAAAATACTCACCACTGAGTTACATCCCTGCCCCCTTTCTTCATATTAAAAAAGTTTTTTTTTTTTTTTTTTTTCCCTAGGATTGAACCCAGGGGAGCTCTGTCACTCTGCTACTCTCCCAAGTCCTTTTTATTTTTCATTTTGAGGCAGGGTCCCACTAAGTTGCTGAGATTGGCCTTGAACTTGTGATCCCTCTGCATCGGCCTCCTGAGATGCTGGGATTAGAGGCATGCACCAAAGCAGCTAGCTTCAAATTTAATATTAACACCTCAAGATTCTATAACATACCACCCATCTCACCACACATGATAGTAACTACTCTGCTTCTCCTCTTGGAACCTCCAAAAAGCAAGTAAGACTTTTAAGCACAGGGCTTTAGGTCCTGTGGGAGAGAATGTTTAAAACATAATCACAGCCCTTAAAGAATTTAGATTATTGGGCGATAAGACTTACACTGAAAGAGAATAAACCTTAGAGATTCTTTTTAAAAATATTTGCATGGGGCTGGGGTTGTGGCTCAGCAGTAGAGTACTCGCCTAGCACATGCAAGGCCCTGGTTCGATCCTCAGCACCACATAAAAATAAATAAATAAAAAGGTATTTTTATTTTGCCCAACTACAATTAAAAAAAAAAAAATTTGCAGTACTGGGGACAGAACCTAAGGCCTTGCAATTGCTAGGCAAGCTACAACATCCAACCCTTTTTAATTTTGAGACAGCATCTTGCTAGGTTTCCCAGGCTGGCCTTGAACTTTTGATCCTCCTGCCTCCATCTCCTGAGTATATAGCATTACAGATTATGCCACTGCACCTGACTAGTCCATAATTCTTAGTCATGTGGCAAAGACCTGCACTGTCTAATATGGTAGCTATTAGCTACATGTGACTGTTGAGCAGTTGAAATGAAGCTAATACCACACACTAAAATAACATTTTGGATATATTGGGTTAAATAAAATGTATTATTAAAATGTTTTTATTTTTAAAATGTGGCTATGGGGCTGGGGATGTGGCTCAAG